TAACGGACGTTTTTCTAATAACCAAATAGTATTGAGGACTAAAATTAAACCAGCTCGTTTGGCAATAAGGCGTCAACATCAAGCACTTTTCACTGATTAGCGAGAAAGAAAATTGAAATGTTATAATCATAATAAACAAATATCTCGAATACTCTCTTAAACTACTCTTAAAAGTGTCATCCAATGCTTTGATATTGTTTAAAGAAGAATGAACATGAGTGTAAAATGCATGCATGTCTTTCTTCGATTATGACTGGATATGATTATGATAAAGTTTGAATTAGTAGCACGAGAAATATAGCTAATGTTTCCATTGCTTTTCCTTCAGACTATCTACAAACCTCAAGCAAAAATTTCTTCGAGCTTCCTGTTTCCTCCTTTCTTATAACAATAATAAATATTCTCTAACAATAAATGCGACTTTTTGGTCACCTATGAAATTCTTCAATACAAGTATAACTCATGAGGGATCTAACTCCATGGACAGAAAAGTGCTTGTCTGATTGTCTGCTTCACTGCTTCACTGCTTGTCTGACTTCACTTATCTTCCAGCAGTAAAGAAACGGGTTTAATGTCGAGTTAAAGTAAACTAAGAGAACTGCTACTTCCCATATTACCATCAAGTGTGCTGAGTGTGTTTTGCGGCGATCGATTGCAATTCCCATTACAAAGTATAGTGCATAGCAAACTACTAATACTAACTGCACCCACATACCACTGTACAGTCCCTTTTTGTATCGCACCATGTTCAGTGCATTTGATTGGCTCGGCTGTTGTTGGATATGATCTTGTACTTGAGACTGATGATGACTGAGATCCCGAAATATTTTTATATACGAGGCGAATGAAATGACAAGGCAAGGTGATGTAACTATATGGCCATACCAAACGGTTATACGGTAATCTAATGTGTAGCATAAAGCAGCGACGCTAAATGCAATCTAAAAAGTAGCTACAATGATGTATGTGCGCTTCAAAGTTACAATTTGTCTATCTTAGCCTTAACAGCAGAGCAAGAAGTCTGTCCACGCTTATGGCCGTTATTGTCATCAAAGACAATACACATAATGCAAAGGCTGTGATGGTGGCTGCGTCAAATGCGTATCGACAAAGACTCCAGTGTTCTTGAACCACAGACATCCAAGAAGTAGCGTAGAGAGGCTGGCTAACAAGACCAACCAACAGGTCAGTTATGGCCAGACAACGATACAAAAGTTTGGACGGCGGATGAAGGGAAGATTCTTTGTGGAGGGAAATGAGGATAAGAGAGTTCCCAAAGAATGCTGTGATGGAAAGGAAAAAGTAGATTGTTGAGAGAGAAACTTTAAATTCTTCTTGAAGCACACCAACCAGAGGGAAGGAGCAATGTAGTTCTTGTAATGTTTTCGCTTGTGTTCCACCACCAGTGAAATTTGTCGTCGACATTATTCTGTGTTCGTTTCCTTTTTCTTGGAGTGAAGTTATCTGTGAATGCAACACTGAAGAAATATTTCTTCTAAATAGCAACACAAC